TTCGCTCCCAAACACAACCTAACAGTTTGGTTTTTTTAACAATAAAGGTACTTTCTAACTAAATTTTATATATCAAAACTATTTTTTTCTAAAATAAAATTTTGAAAGACTTAGTTTTCATACGGTTTGGATTTTTCTAGATAGAATTTAATAATTTTAAGAATTTAGCTTGGTAATTAATGAAATATATTATTTTTTAATTTAAATTTTAGAACCAGTTTAAAAAGAATTTATTAAATTAATCTAAACATGATAGATCGATATGATAATAATAAATCAATATAATTATAATATTTTTAAATTGTCCGGATAAAAATTTTAATTTCAATTAATGTACAAGCTGAAAAAATAACTTTATCGGCAAATTAAAAAAAAAAAAAAAACCTAAAGGGGGTGGAGCAACCATGATGGTAATTAATGAAATATATTATTTTTTTATTTTTAAAATTTAAATCCTAGAACCAGTATAAAAAAAATTATTAAATAAATTTAAATACAATAGATCGATATAATAATAATATTTTTAAGCTTTTTGGATAAAAAAATTAATTTTCATTAATGTACAAACTGAACAAAAAAAATATTCTTCATCGGCGATATATATATATATCACCCTGAAAAGGGTGGAGCAACCATGATGTTTCATGAGACTTTTTTTCAATTTTATCTTCTTTATGATTTTTTTTTCCAAGTGGAAGAATGTTCTCCGGCCAACTTTCAGGTATATCAAAACTAATTTTTTTTTAGTACGGATCAAAAACGCTTTCCAACGTATTATTTTGGTTATTCTAAAAATAAATTTTTAATAATATTAATCATAATTATTAAACTCTAAACTTATTCTATAAATCAACACTTATTTACCAGCATCCTATAATCACGTGATTCTTTATGATTTTTTTATTTATATCACCCATGCATGCGTATCTTTGTGCGCTTCGTGTATTTTCCAGCTGTCCCTTGAGACTGCGATCCACTTGTAATCTAATATAAGTCAAATAAAGTCGCTGTTGTCCCCTAGTTTTGTAGTTTCGTGCTCCTACAAGCATAATCTGGCCGACCCTTGACGTAACAATGACTATCAAATAGTGGGAATTAGCTTATAACTATATATGCCTTTTAAGAGAAGCAACACGGCTACCACATGGTTCCCGTTTGGCTGCATTAACGGTACAATCAAATGCATAATTCATGCCTTCCGATTCTCTATTTTCAGCCTTTTTGTCCCAACATGGAATTCTATCACCGGTTACATTTTAGTCGGCTACTCTGTTTTGGTTCATCATGCTAGTTGAAATTGTTTTTCTAGAGTATTTTCGGTTTAAAAAAATACCAATATGATAGATTTTTCAATTTTCTTAGATAGTGTAGGGTTTGGTGTTTTTAATATGAAAAATATTTTAGAAACACACTCAAATGAAATGTGACCGGACTATATAAGATAAAATGATACAAAATTATTTTATAGGAGAAACGGTTCATTATGTTTTTAGATAATGAGATATTTTTGTTCTTACATAATGAGATAAATGTTTAATTTATTTTTATTTTTTAAAATAAAATTGTTATATTTCTGTATTTTAAGTAAGTTTTCAATATATTTTTGTGATGGTATTTTCTATCAAAATCACTAAAAAAGATTTATACATGATGAATTTTGTTTCAAAAAATACCCCTCAAGGCATATGTAAGTTACTAACTCATCACCAGTACCTTCTCTTTCACCTTGCCATATGGAAGTTTTCAATACAATTTTTTTTTTTTTTTACTCCTCTCCTACTTATTCCCCGTCATATCCTCTCCGTCTCCTTCCATTCTTCTCCAAAAATCTAGCCAAAATACCCCAAAGCAATCGATCTCTTCACCTTTTCGCCCACTCCAAAACTTTATTTTTTTTAGCTATAATCTTCATATTTCACGAAAATTTTATAATACACGACGAGTAGCTAGTGGCGTATACGGTAGTTACTTATTTGGGCTCACTTTGAGGAGAGAGATAGACACACAAAAGAGAGAGAAATTACATCCATACCCACCAAAAGTGATAAGAAAATTTCTACGTCCGCTCAAATTTTTTTATTTTCTCTCTCCTATTTCTCTCTCTCTCTCTTTGTGTGTCTATCTCTCTCCTCAAAGTGGACTCGAAGTAACTACTTGTATATGCCACTAATTACGCCTTGTGTATTATAAAGTTTCTCCATAGTTTACCTAAAATGAAGCCTTAACCCACCAATCTATACTCTTAAACCTTTAAAAAGACCTTTTCACCTTCTCTTTACTTCTTTTAATTAGACCAATATCAAGTTTTAACCCATCGGTAACCATTAAATCCACCATTTTTATTCTCTCTTTTTTTTTTTTAATCACCCATTACATCAAAACTCAAGTTTAACACTATAAATTTGTAGCTTTTTACTTAAAAAAAAATAGGTTCGATGCTTGTCCTAAGCTAGATTTTGACCAAAATGGGAGAGAGAATGACAATATGTGATAATTTGCACATGTCCATTCAATTGAGAATCATTTTTTATATAAAAATTAATTTGATATAAAAATTGATTAGTTACATATTAGTTGGTATTTTTATATAATTTTGTCAGAAAATATTATTAGACAAGTTGAAAATTCATTTAAAATATAATTAGCTTGTTTTAAAATTTAAATTAACACTTATTCAATTATCTAAACACTAAAAAGAAAATGACCTATTTTTCCTATTTTATATAGAGAGGAGAAAAGACAAAAATTTTGCCTTGGGAGAGATTTCTTCACTCTCTTTCATTCCTAATAAACTCTTTGTCTATGTAGGTTAGAATTGAATATTCGGATTGAATTGATAATAAATGACAGTCTTATTCAATTTCTATAGATTCTAAGAAATTTTTGTGCCTCCACAATAAGTGAAAATTAGGAGCAAGTTGGGTAATTGAAGCAGCCGAAAACTCTCAAACTTTCTTGGTGAAAAAAATAAAATAAAATAGATCGACATTACCGAAGACAAATATCAATCCAATGAATTCTATAAAATCGTATCATACAATTCATTGATTGAGTGATAAATCGTAGTTTGGAAGATGTCAAACGATTATTGAGAGTTAACCGCTTTGATTGGACGTCAGCGAAATTATCCGCAAAAAAAAAAAAAAAAAAAGAACAGAAAAAAGAAAACGTACCTACGTGTGGTCAGGAGTTGACTGGTAGATCAAACGATTTCCTTCTTCAGAACAGTGAACACAGAATGTTTCATAGACTTGGCGGCAGATTTTTGTCTTAACACATGCCCCTTCCAAGAAAATATAAAAACTAAAAAAGTTTGGTCCCCGTGTCACTTCTGATATGAGTCATTATCGAACTCACATGCCCGCTTTGTTATTGAAAATAATTTAACACGAGCACAATAAATTCAAAGGACTTGATAGTCATTTTCTAAGGGGCCTGGGCTCGTAATGCCATCCCTCTTCTGTCAGCATAGTGTTTTCTATTAACAGAACTAATTAAGGAGTGAACAAACGCATGCACCTGCTTAAGTAGATAAGGTTGGTCACCTAATTACAGTCACGTCTGTTTAAAATTTTCCCAAATTCAGTGTTCAAAGCGAACCGCTTGCCTGAAAGTCCTTTCAGTCGACTTAAGAAGTCTCTTTAATTTGATTTTTTTTTTGGTTATTATATAATATTTTTGAACTAGTTTTTACGATCAAATTCATCTTTTTTATCTAGTAAAAAATAAGACATTGATATCAAAATTAGGAGATTTGTAAGACGTTTGCTTCTCAATGATCTAAGATTTGAACTATAGTGGTCAAGGAGGAAGCAAGCATACCTGCTATCCATTAGATGAACACCTCCATTGAAAAGCAACTTATAAATAATCATGTAATCTCTCTCTCTCAACAAAACACCCTCCTTTCAAATCTTTGTTTACAATCTCTTTTTCATAGATTTGTTTTTGAGTTTTGTTCATACATAGTTTCTCTAATTTTTGAATTATTTTAATTAAAATTTTGTATTCTTTTTTTATCGTATTTCTTTACTTTTTATTTTGTTTTATTTTTATCTTTTTGTCATACTATTGTTTATTGTAAAATGACTTAGCGCATCAATTTCTAAAATCGAACTACTTATTATATGCGAGATTTCAATAAGGATATTCAATTAAAAAAATTTAAAAAACATTAAACTTCAATCAAGATAATTCAAGAAGTATATAAACCATTTTTTTAATTGTCATGTTATTTTTTTCAAGTCTTGTCATAAATGCATTAAATGTGCCCCATCACATTAAAAATTTTAATTTTTTTTTAATATTTTTATAATAAGTCAAAAATAATAAAATAGTATGTTAAAAAAAACCTAACATGTAATTATTAAAAAACAAATTTACGATGTGCAATATTGATCAATCATGAATCCCTAATCAATGGATCCAATCCTCCATAAAAAATAAAAAATTCAAATATTTGACTAATTTAAAGTAAAAAATAGGATTGCTTTCTCAAAAAAAAAAAAAACACTTGAGACTGCTATATATATATATATATATCAACATTATTATTATTTTAATTTTAATTTTAAAGAACATATTTGTACTCTACTTTTTAAATTGAATGTTAGTTCCTTTCGTATATAATTTATTATTTTTAAATAATTATAATAAATTTTGTTTTAAAAAACCTTTTAAAGTTTTACTGTGAAGTCTCACATATGACATGTTTCACAATATTAAAGATGAAGCCTTCAAAACACAATAACATAAAAAATTGATATTCTATCCGTTTTTGCAATCCGAAATTATAAAAAATGAACTACAAAAATGAAAATCCATTTCTAACATTGTGTTGTTACATTTCAGATTATCTTAATAAACCTCCATTTACATTGAAGTGTGAGGCCATTGGCACATCAGAACCGAATGAACTCTTCTCACGTCAAACAGCATTTTTAACAAGGATTATCAACAAATGACAAATTATCTCATAAAATTTGATAATCCCATTTGGATCATGTTTCTGCATAAAAATCATCAATTACAGTTCTGACTATCAAAGGAATCCTCACTACATGAAAGCCATCTTCCCAAAACAGATTTCCAAATGAGTATCTTCCTTGAATCCGTAACTGAGAACAAAAGGTTACCTTAAACTTGATCTTCTTTCTTGTAGAATCAAATGACAAAACTGGTGGCTGAACTGTCACATATGTGCCAGGTGGAGCTAAAACACGAGCAATGTAGATAGATGTAACAGGACCAACATTTGTGACTGTTCTTGATACAGTTAAGTTCTGCTTCAGCTCTGGGATGGTGATAGAAGGAAAATTAAGATTTACAAGAAAGTTGGCAGATTTCTTGCATCGGGTGCGAGTCCTGGTCATCAAGCTGATTGCAGAATTATTGTAGTTCAGTGCGCAAAGAAAGCGGATATAATCTGAGGTCCCCATGTCAAATATTAGACCAGGATGCATGGCTTTGTTAGCATCAACATGACCACCTCCATAATCAAATGGATCAGCCTGCTTGTGTGGTGCTCCCTCAGCGACTGTTTTCTGACCATATTCATCCTCTATAGATGCTGTAAAAGATGCCAAGATAACGAGGCAGTTATATAACCAGTTCTGAGAGCATCCAAAAGTGCCACTGGCAGTAAAAAGGATGATTTCTTACCTGTTGTGATTAGGGCAGACTTGATTGCAGCAGGAGTCCACGTTGGATGTGTGGCTTTAAGTAGAGCAACAATACCGGATATATGGGGGCAAGCCATGGATGTTCCTGATTCAATTTTGAAGTCCAAGGGCAATACTTTATTTTCAATCACGGCAGGTGAAGCTGCGGGGGACCAAGAGGCCAAGATGTTAACCCCAGGAGCAGCAATGTCAGGCTACAAAAGACATTGAAATATGTTAACCGAAAGAACCACAAAAACGAGAAACGAGAAAAGGTCGATCACCTTCAATACAGCTGGGGAGATGGAACTTGGTCCTCTAGAGGAGAAGAATGCAATTTCTGGGGATATCTGTCGTCCAATAACTGTTTTTGTGAAGCTGAACTTTACTAAAGGATTTCTGTTCCATAAAACGACTTCATTACAAAATGCCAACTTTTGACAATTTCTAGCCAAGTTGTGCAATTTCTTATATTTAGGCATGCAAAAGCATTCAGCAGCAAGGGTTTTATAAGTACTTCAAAGATACATTAGCACACCATTCCAATGCTCACGGACACACACAAAAGGATATACAGCTCATGCGAATGATGGAATAGGTCCAGAACTCGCACAGTGCAGCGAGAGGAGTTTACCTGCTTGCCTCCATGTATGTCAGTAGATATGTTCCTATTGCAAAGTCCACTTGGATAGAGGGAATGTCCAAGGACAAACTAACATCCTTTGTGGGAAACTGTGCAAATATGAGACCAACACCCTTGACATCCAACACAGTTCTTCTAGCGATGATATTTGACCTCTGTGACCGAGACTCAAAACACAGAATTACTTTTCCTCTTGCTAAAGTAGCATTCAGGCTTCCTGAATCACAACTTCTGTTACGAGTACAACCTATTAGAAGCTGCCTTTTCTCAGCATATTTGGGACTTTGATATGCCAATAATTAAAGGAAATTATACCTCGCACTATCTTCATATGAATTATCAGCTGCAATGTTTTCTCCATAAACAATAGGGTGAAAAGTGTGTGAGTTCTTCCCTGCATACAAAGCCTGGCCCTGTTTGAGAAAATAACACTGTGAGACGTAGTGTCATATATTTACAGCTAGCAATGACAATATTATACATATCATTCAACAGTTCCTAAGTCATATTCACCTAGCCTTTGAGGCTGGAATCAATTACTGAATCATCGAGCTTGAATAATTAATCCTCATCACCAATAAAAAATATCAATTCTACGTAACTAATCACAAAAGGTCATAAGAAAAACAGCTAAACATTAAGAACTTTTGCGTTTGTGTTCTTTATTTGATATACTGTATGTGCAACTACGTTTTGTGCTTTTATTGAGCATGCTTATGCCAACTGCCATCCATATAAACTCAGCACAAGTTCAGGAAGTACCACTATGGTTTGATTGTTCCCCAGGGTAATTACAGTAGGAAAAGCTCGATCAATGGTGCTTGCTGCAACTGTAACAACCCAAGGAGCTGTATTAATAACTGTTTGAGGATAAGGACCGGAATTCCCCGCAGAGCATATTACAGAAATTCCTTTAGCTACAGCATGAAAGGAGCCAATAGCTACTGGATCCTCAACATAGGTGGCAAGTGGAGGTGGCGACCCAAGAGATACTGAGATCACATCCACGCCATCAAAGATTGCATCATCAAATGCGGCAAGAAGATCTGCCTCAGCGCAGCCACCAGTATCCCAGCAAACTTTGTAGACAGCCAGCCAAGCTGATGGGGCACCCCCTCTTGCCAGTCCTTGAGCTAGTCCCATAAAACTTGCATTTTCCACTAGACCGCCAGCTGCAGTAGATGATGTGTGGGTGCCATGGCCCCCAGCATCTCGAGGAGATAAGAACTCAAACACATCACTTGTATTTAGATTTCCAAATTCAGCTTCATAACCTTTAATATACCAGCGAGCACCAATGATTTTCCTGCCCAAGTATCCAAGCAGCAAGCATCAATTTAATTCCTGCTGCAACCTTGTTAAAGTACAGTTAATAAGTAGAAGCAAAGGAACTTGACAACTAGAGAAGTCATTTCTTAGAGTTTAATTCCTCTTCAATTTGAGTTAACTACATATATCCTTGCAGCAGAGCCATCATCATGTATTCTTATGACCAGAATTTTAGATCACTCAAGAGTTGGTACTTACAATTGACGTCTAAAAATCTCAAATCTGTTTAAAAGTATAGTGAATCCTGGATTGAAATAGAATATGAGCTCTAACCTATTGCAATGTGAGCGATTAAATCCTTCTCCTTCCTGGCATATCCCGCTCCAACGAGATGGCACCTCTGCCATACCCTTATCTCTGAAGCTTTTTGACTCTGGCCATATACCTATGCAACAAGAAAGTATGACCAAATATTTAAGTAAATTGTCTAAACTAACAACGAAGTCTACATTTTGCCACTGACCTGTGTCCATGATACCAATGATGGAACCAACCCCAGAATGTCCCTTTGAAAGAATTCCGTCCACAGTTTGAGGCTTGAAGTGTAGAAAATCCCAGCTCCTAGTTGTGTGAGAACTAAGAATTCTATTTCGAACAACACCAACAACTCCAGGGAAATCTGTGTTGATGCATCAACAAAGAAAGGAAATTGATTGCAGGGACTCGTTAGAAGTCAAAAATCAGACTAGGAAAATGGATTTCAAAGTGCACCAACATTGTAACACCTGTAATGAGCTTGGCTTGGGATTTGGTTAACACTGCAGCAAATCCTGAAAATCCATGCTTGTAGCTATACAGGATTGATTCCCTTGCTGCTTCTTTGCTGTCAAAATCATACCACAAGATGCTAATTTCTCTTTACTGCTTAATCAAACCTCACAGATATTCACAGCTAAAAACAGTGAAACAAATTTTGTACATATAAATCCTGAAATTGCATAAATCAAAATCAAAGAAAGCCAGAGAATACAAAATCATTCAATACCCCTGTGACCATAGCAAGAAAGATAAAAAAAACTGAACATGTTTAAGGTAAAAGTAATAGCAAAACCGAACATGTTTGAGGTCAAATTGATAGTTAAAAAATGGAAATGAAGATTATTAAGTGTCGGAAATAAAACCTTCCAACAATAACAGAAAGAAGCACATGATGGGACTCTTCAACCAGCTCAGGCTCGTCATGGAGTTTGTCTCCCATATACACAATGTAAACCTGCCAAGAAAAAAAGATTAAAGACAAAGAAATCCATGAAAGAAACAAATTGATACACACAGCTGAAATGAAGTAGAGAAACTCACATTGGTTTTAGCAAGAATCACAAGGGGCAAAGTCTGCAGCAGAAGAGCAAGGAAAATGGCAGGACGCCATAAAGAAGCCATTAGATACCTGAAACATAAAACCCCAAGAGCTAAAACATTGTAATTTATATGTAAAGATCATGGGATTATGTCATTTGATTGAAGTGTCAGTGGGGACCTCACACAGTAAATGTTACTCACCTGCTTCACCACTTCTACTACTAGCATTATTGGCAGTTGTGTGAGTGTGTTTTCTGTTTGGTGTTAACTGTGGTAGCTATAATGTTGAGGTCTGCTGAGATAGGGATCTATCTGTTTAAATGTCTTTTCATGGAGCAAGCATATGGGGAGACTGAGAAGTGGGGTTGACTTGATTTTCTGAAAGTGGCAATAGGACAATATATTCTGAAGGGTGAACTTTCTTGTGACTACTATTGGGTAAGGGACGCATGCATGTCCTTGACAAGTTTTGGTAGAGTTGAAGAGGGATACTCAGATCCTACATCATCAATACACTCCACAGTTGTACACACATCTGGTTGTGCAAATCTGTCTTCCATTTTTACCTGAAATGATGAGATCAGTTTCTTTTGTTGTTCAAAAGAGGAAGAAATAAAAAAGAAATCATATTTTTTGTTATGTGAAAAAAGAATAATCGATTCATGGACTTTGGGAAACTACAAATATGCTCTCCATCTTTCATCTAAGTTTCAATTAGGTCCTTGTCGTACTAATTGCACTAATATCACCCTCAACCTATCAAGTGACAGTTTCTTCCCTCCATTAGTTGGAGTAACTTGAAACTCACATGAGTCAATTCTCCTCAAATTTTCATGAAAATAATCTACAAGTTTTGATTTTCATATGCATTCAAAGATACTATAAAATATAAGTTTTAGAAGTATTGTTATTTGACATTATTAAGAAGCTGTTATAAAAATAATTAAGATAGTTAAAATTGACAAGTTACACAAAAATACTTAGTTTAATGATTGTATGTCTAATTATCTCTTCTAATAAATAAAATTTGAGTTCTAATGACTTCAAATTTTATTAGTGATTATGCAATAAAAGAGAACTACTTTCGTGATGTAATTCAAAAGCTCATGAGCCTCCAATGAATTAAAAAAATGATTACATAGTTTTGGTAGGTTAGAGTAAGATTTGTACAATGATGATTAGAAAATGGACTTAACTGCAATCTACCCAATAAATAGATAGCATAATTGTAATTTCCTCAATTGTATTATATTCTCTTCTCCGTTGCAAAAGTGATGCATGGCTGAAAGTTTTAATTTTCTAGAATATCATATTTCTTATATTAACCATATTAAAACCTCATGTTGAGAAAATCAATTACTGAGATGGCACACTCCATATCAAAGTTTATGGATTAAATCCCAACTTAGCAGTCAAAGCACATTAGTTGAAAAGTCTTTTACCAGCCAATAATAGGCATCCACATGTAACCATCTTTGAGAGTTTGCATGCTCAATGGAGCATAAAAAATAAGCATAACATATAAAGAAGGCATAGCCAATGGGATTTCATACAAGTTGCTGTCGAAAATTATATATATTTTTTTAGTTCATCACGAGGTGCATTAGATGTTGGGTTATACAATCTAGGTAGTTTTTTTTATTATTATTATTACATAATATCTAAATAAACTGAAATTATCAAAACTCATACATGTTCTATTAAAAAAAAATTATATGATATATAACCATTAAATTGTTCGAGGTGAGTAACAATTGAATTTTTTTAAAAAAAAATATCATGAATTTTTATTAAATAATAATATAAATCATATTTTGTGATCTCATTCAATAATTTTAGTTTTTAAATTAAAATGATTTTTTAAAATAATACAAAAACTGTAATGCTTAAATAGTTAACAATTTGAATCTCACTATTTTTATTTATTTTTTAATTCAATTCCCGTCATCTTTATTTTCATTTATTAAAAGTAAATAATCAATATTATGATTGTTTAAGTTTTAACTCAAAAAATTTCTACTTTTGATAATATGTTATAAAATAATATAAATTTTATTTATCAATTTAAAAGTTAAAATTGAAATGATTATTTGACATTTAAGAGTTAAACAAAGTTCATACTTCAAAAATTTACCTGGATAGATATTGGGCCACCGCTACACAATCATGTTCCTCCATTGCCCCTGCACGAGTTTCTTCATTGTTTTGATGACGTTGCGCTTGTGCAGAATTCAATTCATGAAGAAAGAATGCAAAAGAGGGGGAGATTTTCATTTCTATTAAAGCAGGTCGCATTCAATCGATGAAGATATAAAATTTCATTTCGCCCCCAGATATTAATATTATGGCTATGGCCACAGCCTTTCTCTCCATTGACACAACCTAAATAATTTTTTATTAATGAAATAACTAAAATGACCTTTCTCCATCTAAAAACCCGACATCGAAATTTTAAAATACTCCATCTAAAAAAAAAAAAGAGAGAGAGACATATATATTCTAATCTAAAAAAAATAATAAAAATATTTTTATCCCAACTTAATTTTTTAAAAAATATATATTTCTCTCTCGTATTTTTGCAATCTTCTTTATATCTATCTCTCCATATAAAATTTCTCCATCTCCATTAACAACGGAAATATCATCCTTGCGAGAGACACACAGAATCAATTCATAGCGCATGCTTGCTATCAAAACAAACCCATTCAGTTCTAGTTGTTTAAGTCCACATAAATTAGAGGTTTGTGGATTTTTTTGTGACATAAGAACAATTGATGACAATAAAGTCTTACAGAGAAAAAGAATGGGATTTTTTTTTTTTTTTTTTTTGGTTCCTCATGCCCACGGTGAGTTCAGCAGAAATGAGCAGCATTGGAGAAGAAATGGACAGGATGATGAGATGCGGAGAAAGAATGGTGGTTTTGTGTTTTAAAAAATGATTTTTAAATTTTTTGAAAGTGAGAAAATAAGATTTTTTGTGTAGATAATTGGATATATCAAACGAGTAGGGTTGTTTTAGTTATTTAACGAGGAAAAAAATTGTTATGCTGTGCCAATAGAGAGAAAGCGCGTGTCAATAGCCACCCCCTTTATGTATATAATTTCATTATATCATACTATGATGAAATTGACCAATGTTTGTTATGTATCACTGCACTATCTACTAAATAACGAACATAGTTATGTGTTTATACTTATGGAGGTTGGTGAGACAAGCTCCAAACAGCACGTTCGCATTTCGATGGAAAGCAATTTGATTTAGAATATCTATTTTTAAAGGGTTGTTTACTATTTATATTTCTTGATTGTGACGTAAATATTTATTAAAAATAAAGAATAGGATTTAAATATTTCTTATTTAAGTATATTTTTGTTGTTGGATTTTTTTTTGAATTTCATATATACATGCAATGAGAGCATTGGTTTGGAAGGTATAGTTAGTAATAATGAAAAGCAAATAAAATATGTTTTACCTTTGTGTGTGGATGAAAAAAATTATATATGTGATGTGAAAGCTCAGCTGCTTCGAGTGAATCATGCGGTATTTTGTCTTCAGAAAAAGCAAAGTATGCCTAAAAATAGAAGAAAGCAGAAAAAAGAGAAAGACTAATGATAATGTTAGTTTTTTTAGTTTTTTTTCCAGATATTTTCGTCTATTATTGAAAATAGAATTAATCTTATTTGAAACAATAACGAAAAAAATTTAATTTATAGTATCTTGATAAAAAATTCGTATCAAAACCAATTCATTTATCACTTGATTATCAATTTATTGATGATGATAATGCTAGTTTGAAAAAATCAAAATAGTTATATGATTTTTTTTGTAAGTTAATTATAAAAATATTAATGAGTATCACGTATATCCACGATACTCTATTTTCTGAATAATATTTTTAAGTTGTTATGTTGCTAGCTTAACAAACGTTTGAAGGAAGTTGTTCCTTCTACATCAAGCTAAATTATGTTGCACGATGATGAGAAAAAATATGTAGCACGTGTATAGGACTTCTGTAAACTTTGATTGGAAATTATTTTCACTTTTCATTACGGTATTCTATCTAGAATTTGTTATTGGCTACTGTAATATCAATTTAATTCTTAAAAGATTGTCTTTCATAAGTAATGTGCAATTTTTTTTATATATATAATCCATATCCATTCAAAAAATAAAAAATAAAAACTTTATTATGATTTAACAATTTGGAGGTAAAGTGCATCTACATGCATATGTTTTTTATTGTTAGTTCCGACTAATTATTTAATATCCAGATTTTTTAAAACAAATTGCTATCCAATGGAGAAGCCTTCCAGAATCCACAAAGAAGACTTACTTTGATGCAAATAAGGAGGCACGGGTTCCATATAAAAAAAGTGATGGCCGAGCTTCAAAAATAAATTAGAATAATTGAATCCATTTTAACATCTTATATTGAAAAAAAAATTACTTATAAATTGTTGACTTAATCTTTTAGTGAATTTTATGATAGTATACAGTGTTTGAACCATAAAATCACATTTATTAAAAAAAATTAAATATTATTTTTCTCCTTCTAATATGGTTATTCATATTTCTAATGTAGAATAAATACCTAAAAAATTATATAGTATTAATTTTAATGTTTTTTTTCGCATTGGAATTGCAGAATTACATATGTTGACAGTAGAAATTCTATCCTTCGAGTTCGTTGAAACGATCCAGAGTTTTGGGAATGACAAAGGAAGGATCCAAGTGGACCTTGGTCTTGGTGGACTTCTAGGAATCCCAAATCGTCATTTAAACCTGAAGAGAACCAACCCATGAAAACGCCAAGCAAAAACCTATAATGTTCTTTTATTTTGGTTATAAAAGCTTCATTAAGCATATTTTGTTTGCGTTTGTGGATATGGTTGCGGAGCATATGTAATATAACTTATAAGAGCATTATGCCTCCAAAACAAGTTCGAATGAAAATAAATTAGCAAGGATATGCTAAACTCCAGATCTTGGAACGAAGAAAACTATTAATTAGAAACCACATCTATTTTTGGGTTAGGGTAAACTCAAATATGTTTTTGTTTTTTTGGAGCGTAGTAAAAAGTAAGCCAGGTAAATTATGTAATACACGTTATACCAATTATCTTTACAGTTAATTATGCTTTAATGCTTTTAAACATCACGAGCTTAAATCCGTTAAAAGTTAGTTCTTCTAGCGATACCTTTTATTTTTTTATTTTTTTTGTCAACA